TGCTTAGCTGTGTAATGTAGTGTAGTGTAGTTCTGCGTAGTTTTTAAGATTTTAACGTAGGAAAAATCACTGTAACAAGACACAATCAACAACAATACTAACTACAATGTAAAAAATACGATCCAATAAATTATTGATTTTGAACTATGGAAAATCATTCACAGTTTTTGAGTCATCTAAATATCTTATTTACACACATTTCTAAATCTCGGAAAATAGTATTATCTATGCTAGTCTTACTAAATAATATTAATACTCTAAGGGCCGATTGTTCAATCTTCAGATAAAAAGTCTAATAACTATCCAGCGTATAAAGTTATCTGTCTGTTTATTCGACGTATAAATACTCTCCTATTTTTCAATGTCTTTTTATTCCTCGAATAGTTAACTGACGGAATATTTGAACTCTGGAACACGAACTTCATAGTGGTGAAACAAATATATTGCAAACTTATGGGTTAGAGAAGGACAAAATATATCTGTCAAACAAGTGTCAGTGCCACTTTACTTTTGAGGTTATGTCATGCGTGTTTATTTTTTGGTGCGAAACGTAGGACGTCTATCGGTTGTGTTCTTAAAAAATATTGCAAAAGTGTACGGGAATAATGAAATCCATGAAAAGAGAACGTTCAGCAAATTTTAATACTGCAGAAATTCAACTTCTCGTGAGTTTAGTAGGTAAATTTAAATCAATTATTGAAAATAAAAAGACGGACGCGGTGACGAACAAAGATAAAGAGGCAGCATGGAAGAAAATTGAAAATTCTTTTAACTCCTGTGGTATATCCACGTGTGTCCGCTCATGGAAAACATTAAAACTGAAGTATGAGGGACTGAAAAAAGGAACAAAAAAGAAATCGTCTCTTCAAAGGCAAGAGATGTACAGAACAGGTGGAGGGCCTTCAACTGCTCCTGAATTTGATGAGATCGAGGAAAAGGTGATGAGCATTTGTTCTAATATAAAAGGACTCGAAGCGCGTAACGACAGTGATACTATCTCTAGTAAGTATTAGTTCAAATGTTACTTTAAAAAATCCATCCACTATGTGTTGCGTTAAAGAGTAATAAACATCCATCCTCACAAACATTCACATTTATAATATTAGCGGTATTCTAATCTAATAATCTTTATTAGTGAGATCTTACTTAGTTTAGGCGCTGGTAGAGTGCTATCTAGAGCCATAAATTTTATTGTAATATGCCAAAAAGAACAAACTATAAGTAAATCAATTCCTTTGTTATTTGATTTTTGTTTTTCAAATACCAATCCCACACTTATAAATATATTTTTCAGCACTGCATCCTGTTGGGGAATTGATTTCGGAGTCAGAGCTTACTGAAGTTTATTCTGCCTATCAACCAGAATCACAGGATACTGCCGAAGCTGCAAATGTGCAAATGCCAGGTATGTAATTACCCTAGCTACTACCAGAAAGTTATCAGTTAAGATGTTTGTGTGATGAATACGAGCATTTGTACTCCAGTCATGGATGTTTAATATGTATTTCTATATAAATATACTTATATTTGTACATTATATGTATTCTATCCGTTACCCTAGCATCCCATAACACAAGCCTTACAGTGCTTACTTTGGGGCTAGGCTAATTGGTGTGAGTGTTGTAAATATTTATTTATCTTTATTTTAATAATATCATTTCAACATTTTTTTTTATTTTAGGTATGGACGACTCCATCATAATGGAAATAGTGGAAGTAGAGAACAGCGACTCTCAAAAAGGTAAATTTAATATATATTTTTTTACAACTAGTACAGGCAAGCAAGTTACCTGATGGTAAGTGCACCCGTCTCCTAAACCATTCACTGTCCCACTAGAACTATGTTACTCATCCTGAGACTTAAGGTGTTATGTCTCATGTGCCTGTAATTTCACTGGCTAACTTGCCTTTAAACTGATACACAGAAGTACGAACATTACTGTCTGGCGGAAAACATGCAAGCTGCTGGTACTGTCTCAGGCAGACTTGCACTAAGTCCCTAACACTCAGATATTCTATCTGTTTTACCTTATTTTGTAGTGTAACCATTAGTATTATTATACCATAACAATTTTATGTTTACAGAAAATAAATGGGATAAATGGCATCCTAAAGCACTTAAAACGAGAGTCTCAAATGTCTTAAAACCAGACATTGTAACTAAATCCAGCGTAACCTCCAAACTGGATAAATTAAGTTCAGCTCGATTGGAGTTGGTGCAGTTACAAATGGACAGCACTAGAAAGCAGCAAATTTTCATGGAAGAAGAACATAAACTGAAAATGGCACATTTGGCAAATGATGAAAGAAGAAAAGAAGAGCTCCATGCCTTACTAATGGAAAAAATTAGATGTGGCCCAGTACCGAGCGGCATGATTTAAGGTGTTTGTGTTATTGTGCTAAATGTTGCTTATAATTTGTGATTTATATTATGCATAAGGTACTGTATAACCATAGGTATTAAGTTTGTTTTATAAATAAATAAAGACTTGTTTTTCATTTTGTAAATTAGATATTATTCATAAGTAGGTAAAGGTAATTTTAATTAAAATTTTATACATTAGGTAGTTTTTAGTTCTTGTTATTTTATTTTCTATATATTTTAATACTGTAAATAAAAAGTATAATGTAATAAAAATATTTTTATTAAAAGTTACAGTCAACTGGAAAGCCTAATTCAACTTACTACTATTATAAAATTAAAGAATTGAAATAACTTAACATTAAATTTCTAGTATGCAGCCTTTCTACACTTGTAGGATTTGCTATGAATGGTGGAAATATTGGCTGTGTTGGAACAAGAACTTCTGAGTCCAATGGTGGTTCCACTTCATTTTTTGTCCTTGCCAAGTTGTGCAATACAGCACAAGCAACAATTACATCTTGTGCAAGTGGTAGCTTACACCTTAATCCAATACTTAGAACTGGAAAGCGTCTTTTCCACACTCCAAAACATCTTTCAATGACATTTCGTGTTCGTATTTGTGACTCATTATATAAACTCTGAGCCGGTGTGTCTGGTTTTTGAAAGGGAATCAATAGGTAATTGGTTTGTTCATAACCACTGTCTCCAAGTATTATTCCATTTCCAAATGCATTATTCTCACAGTGGAATTTTGCACATGAATTTGAAAATATCATGCAATCATGGGTTGATCCAGGCCAACGTGCAACTATATCTTGGAACATCAACTCTGCTGAACACATTGCTTGCACATTAAAGGAAAAAAAACCCTTTCTGTTCCTAAATTCCTCTGCTGTGTTACCACCAGGTGATTGAATCCTAATGTGGGTGCAATCTATAGCTGATATAATTCTAGGAAATCTGGCTATTTTATAAAATTCTTCCTGAGTCCTTCTTATATCTTCATCGCTTCTTGGTAACTGTATAAAGGTTTGTCTTAAAGACGCTATAGCACCTGTGACTTTTTTGATGATACGGCATATAGTGGAGTTATGAATGCCACCAAAATCACCAATAGTGATGTAGAAGCTCCCAGTGGCATAAAACCGAAGCGTAATTAATAACTGCAACATGGGTGAGATGCAATGGTTTCTGAAACAAATAAAAACGAGTTTACCTACCTATATTACGCGTACCTGAAGATGGGTAAGTATAAGGTAGGTAAGCCACCAGATAGATTTTTGATTGTGTAAACGATTGAAACTTACCTTTCTGTTTCGTGCTTGATTTTGTCTTCAATAAGGGCTAGTAAAAATTGTACTGACTCCTTTAAAAGTCTGAATCGGCGATGAAATTCTTCTGAATTCCACTGGGTATAATGATCGGCTCTCGGTTTGACGATTCTCACTTTTCTTTCAGTTGGATTTAAATATTCATTCATTATGCCCTCTTCTTCGATTGCCAAGTCATCAACGGAATCGAAAATATCCATGATTATATCGCTCTTCGTTAATTGTAAAGTGACTAACCTAACGTAATTGTTAAAATAACCTCAAACAAAATCACTGTCAATGTCAAACTATTCGTCGAATAACGCGGTTATCTGATGGTTGAAGCGGCAGATAGATTTATCCCTCAGTTAGCAGAGTTATTCGACAGTTAAGTCTTATCCAACTGTTGAAAAACTCGAAACCTTGCTATCTATCGAATAAAAGCTATCTATCTGTTTATCTGAAGATTGAACAATCGGCCCTAAGTAACATGATTAAAAAATGACGGACTTGCAATTGAGATATTTAACAAAAAAATATATAAATTTTATGGTTAAATTATGCGATTAGTTGCGCTTATTTTTGAACATAGCGGTCAGGGCTACGGTACTTTAGTAACTTTGGGTTGCGCTGTTAATTACTACTACTTGTGATACTTTTTCAAATAAGTTAAAAAAACGCAATCCATTGTTCATGACAGATTAATCATACCACCAACTTTGTTTTTATTAACTTGATGTTGATAAAACTATATAATGAAGTAATTTTTCATGTGTATAGTTTTTTTTATCTTACTTAATATTATGTTATCTTCGAGTCTTGAAAATGGGTATCATGGCATGGTATACTTTACCATGTAGGTAAATTCATATTGCGTCGCAGGGAACGTATGAATAGATGTGTGGTACTGTAGACTGGTGGCTTTGTTCAAACGCTATTCATTACCCGAATGTCTTCGTGAGCCCTATTCTTCTGGAGTGCAATGAACTGCCGATTGTCGTGTTCCCACCTCATATTTTCATGTAACGTGTTTTACGGGTTGTCACTGACTTTTTGGTACTGCGGAATGTTGCAATCGCTCAACTTAAAGAGACGTCGGCGCTTGTATTGATTCTTTTTTCACAAAAACTTCATGTTTGTCGACTCTTTTATGGAACTTGTTAAAGTCACCGTTGAAATTTATAGCAATCTCATAATCTTTTGATCAAGATGTTAAGTTACTGGATATCGAATACATGATTATGTCATATAAACAAACATCTTTGTCTTATTATCGTTAGTTGATTCCAACGCCTGAATTATACTCATACGCGCATTGTTTATAGATTACTGGCACGAAGTATCATCAAATCTAGCGATATAAGGTTTTCCACGATAACGCCAGATAAGGAATATGTGAAACAAATGAAACAGTGTTATTGAAAGCGCGACCACGTGCGGTTGCATCGGTGATTGCAAAAAAGATATATCGAATCGAAAAGTGAATAACCAACTTGCTCTGATTGTCTATCGGAGAAGTGTGTGTTAATGAGATTCTAGTGCAAATCACGACGTTATTGCCAGTGAAGTAAAGTTTAAAACGTGCAGTGCGTGAGGACATGTGTGAGGATGAGTACAGAGCGACGCCTTTCTCGGAGTTTTCACTCCTGCCTGAAGGGTTCGTCCACGGAGGAGGCGGCAGACGAGGAGGAGACCTGCTATCACTCGCTCGGGGGCCGCCATTCCCTGAACCGGCAGCCTCAGGTGTACGTGGAGGACTTGTCTAATGTGTCCCTTGCAGACTTTGAAACGACACAGGACGAGAACAATGGTTTGTATGGTACAATAATTATATTCGAAATACATATTAAATTTTATGCCATGTTTACGTATATATTTTTAGTAAACATTTGGATTGTCGACTTTGAAATTAATATAAAATCGCAGTTTTATTGTAAATTGTAAACACTAAAACAAATAAAAATTAGAGGAAGTCAGACTCGCATACATCATCGTACAACATTTAACAATTGAAATAAGTTTGTTTTAAGATCAAGCAAGAACTACCAAGTATCATGTTTTTGGCGTACTAACAGATGGACGGATAGTGGCCTTGTGAAATGTTTTCCCCTTTTGGTACGAAGCCCTAAAAAGCACGTGCTCCGTGATGTGAACTCAATAACTTCGGGTTTTTTGGTGAATTGAATATATCGCTAGACTGATAAGTTCATTCCCTCTCTTATGCATGTTGTAGATAAACCAAACCATAAATAAATAAGTAATACTTACACAATGTCACATTTTAATTCAAGGGCATTTATTTAAATACATCGTGGGTGTAATGGGACTAACGAGTACATACTCGTAAAATATTAGTATTCATTAAAATCTAGTAGGTAATGGGTATTTACACTTAACATTACATTTGGTTTTATAATTTCATTCACTAAATTCATTTCACAACAATAAAGGAATAAGAAATAATGATAAAAGGCTCCATTTATAAGTATTTATTAGCCGTTCAGTCATTTGCAGGGGCACTAGGCAATTTCATTCCTAAAAAATCCAATGCACCTCATAAACGGCTAACTTCAGATCATCCAAGATTTATCGGATAAACTGTACTAACATAGGTATCACATTTACGACCACATATAATTTTGCAGATGTTGCGGCTTTTCGTAGAGAGTATGAGGAAATCATTAGAACCATTTACTAGAAGAGTTGCAAACCACTGTTGATAACTGTTGTGCGGGCGCTGATCACGACCGCAATACGCCTATTAAAAACCATTTTCTGTCAGTACTATAAAGTTGCAATAAGACCTTAACTATTTCCATAATAAGGTCTAATATGGTTTATCTTCATAATTACTATATGTGACGTTCTGCATAGCTTTATTATGTCGCTCGCTAGTGATTGTTGTGTAATAGTTACTCGAGATATTCCTATGGCTTCTGCCTTCAGTTGCATCGGTTAAATAACTGTTTCATCACTTGGCACTGAGGGAATCAAGTTTACTGTAAATTTAAATTAGTATCTGTGAGTAGCTGTCTAGGTGACACGAAGCTCTAACCAATCTGTTACTAAATCAGATATATCAAATGTAAGATTCGAATGATTTTAAGTGTAACCAACACTAGATAAATAGGTTAGATATTTTAACGGGTTCTATTGTTGTGGTATAAATAATGGATCGTGGTGATTTTTAAAGTCTGCAAAGGTAGAGAGCTCATCTATAATAAAACGAAATTTAAAAAAAACAATTGGCTGTGTATAACTACTCGCAAGTGTTGTAAAACAATATTGTAAGGTTGTAAGACAATACGGTCGTATACAAAAATTTGTTACTATTGAAGGGGTTTGCACCCTTTCAATAGTTTGTTGTTATTTATGTTTAACTAGCGGCCGCCGGGGACTTCGTATGCGTGGAGTTAGTTAGTAATAAAGGCTTCACCGCTCATTCCCCGTAGGTGATAGCGTGATAATATGTAGCCTAAATGTTGACCCGACTTCTTAATAAATTCGTGCCAAATTTGATGTAAATCCATGCAGTACTTTTTGAGTTTATCCCGGACATACATACAGACGAACAGACTAAAATTCTAAAAACTATATTTTTGGCTTCTGTATCCATTGTAGATCACACCCCGAGTATTCTTTAAAAAAAATATTCAATGTACAGACTTTCCTACCATTTTATTATATGTAAGTATAGATAATTTCAGTAGTTGTATTTACAGATTTTTAGTCATTAATTACGTTTGCAAAATGGGTGTTTTGTGTATACAACTATGATTATATACTTAATCAATTGTATAGTTTTTATTTAATCTTAGTTAAAGATCTGAACTTTTTCGGGATAAATGTATTTAAACATTTTAAACTATACTTATTAATTAATTATACTTAACAATAATGCATATATGTCAGTGTTAATGAGGAAATAGTTTTAGGAGGCGTACATTTGGAGGTGTTTCTGTGTTGCCAGTAGGTGTTAATATCCTTGATTTGATCTTGACATTGATTCACATGTATGTCTGTATGTAGGTAAGTACATACATGCCTGACTCACTAGATAAGTGCCTACATAATACTTCTTTGTCGGTGTGTAACGATTAATTCTAACGTATTTATATTCGTACGTATAGTCAGTGTACGTATTCAGTCAGGATAGTAAATCAGTTTTCCTCAATCGTGAAAACAACGGTTAAAAAAACATGAAACAGAAATGTTCTTTCTAGAGCATGGTTTTTCATGAGTACAGAATTCAAAATTATTAAGGAAGTTTCCCTAAAGATACGAGTGTGCTTATGAGTATATGTTATAGTTTTCTGTTTATTTTTATCTACCACACTTTTTCGATTGAAAATTATATTACGTACCAACAATTAAATTTTGGTAACACTCACAACGTACGGGAAACTCCTCGGATTCCCCGGTTGGTTTAAATATGAGCGCAGTTGAAGAATATTAGATTTTTAAAGCAATGTATGTGAAATCAGACGTAACATACCTAAATAAAACATTTATCTTGCTTGAAAAAGGAACAAATTAAAAACACAGCGGGTCTAAGTATTTCTCTAATATCTCAAATTTTTTTAACATAGTGGAAAAAGATATTATTTTTCATTTTAAATCACTACGGCTGGCTAATTTTACGCTACGCTTCGCTTCAATGATTGAATTCATTGAAATATCAAGATAACTTTATAAATACATTCAAAAGGATTCAATATGATTCATATGTATTTCACGCTAGACTGAAAGCAGTAGAAAAAATTGGATGCGTCACCTTCAACTTCCCTATAAAGGTGTTCCCACACTGGAGTTGGCGCTGTTAGTAACAGTTATAACCAGTTTTGTTATGACACCGAATGTTTTTGAAACTGTTTATAAACAATTGAAACTCTCATTCCAAATTCATATCAGAGAAAGAGTTATATTAGTAGTGCCTTCGCTCAAAATCTGAGCCTGTCTTTGTCTGAAAATAATCTTCACCTTACGAAATGGCCACAGCAAAAAAAACCTTTTTGTGGTGTTGAGCTTATATTGGTGAGTAAGGTTCCAGAGTTCCTAGGGGTAACAGAGTTCAGATCACCAAGGTGGGGATCACTGGAGCTGAAAATTTTTGTTCCGCATAGGCTACCCTTTGCAACTGGAATCCACTAACACTTGGCATGTGGTAGAATAATTTACTACCCCTAAGTAACAACAACGCTTTTTTCTAGTTTATTCGTCCAAGTTACTCTCATAGTGACTGATCTTATTAAAGACACGTTTTAAAATATTCTTGTGCAGCTGGGGCACACCGCAAAGATAGGTTGACTTTGGTAGAAGGTTTAGGAAAAAAACGGGATTCCTTTAAAACTATTATACAAAAACCCCGACATTAAAACTTTTTAAACTATCGATCGTCTCTTTGAACCTGTATTGATGTTTTAGTTAATGTATTGTAATGTGTTTATGTTGGAATCACGTTCAGAATAAATGTTACGGTGCGTGTCGGTCGGCCCACCTGTGACACACACACAAACATAAACAAAAAGCGGCGCGCACGCATCCACCACCACGTCCGCTTCCTGTGTTCCTATCTCACTTCCACCCCTTTTTAGATTCAACAGTTTGATTTTAAATCAACGTTATATAAATTAAACCTCTAAACCTTCGTATTATAGTATTAATTTGCTCATAGAAACTCTTTGGTCTGCAACTACTCGTTTACTCGCCATTGATGTAATTTTTTTAGACTCAAAAATTAGATTCGTACGTCAATGTCATTCATCATACCTATTTGTTGTTTGGATTTTTTGAAAAAATGAGTGCAAAGTTTCATTCGAAATAGAAATACTATTTTAATATTATACTAGTGGCCCGCCCTCGCTTCGCTTCGGTGTAGAGCTGTAGTGTAGACTATAGTTTTTGTTCAGAGGCTTGTATTATACACAATGACTTTCTTCAAAATAATTTTAAACCTTACAGATGCAATAGCGATTACCAACTCTGACCTGGCTTTAATTTGTTCCTGAAGTAAGTCATTCGGCCTTATTGTGAATCCCACAAAGACGCAAGCTATCATAATTGGCAGCTCCTACTTCATTACAAATAGTGCGTAGTTTAGGGCCGTTGTACCAAATGCACCATTTCTGTGCTATTCCGATTTGAAAAAATCGATTCACTTATAACCTTTTTCTTCAAATGAACGCGGGTTAAACCGTAGGGGATCTCTAGTTGTGACATAACTGTGATAGTTAGACATATAGTATTGCGTACTTTTATGTAGATATTGATATCCTATATAAAAGTTTAGTACATCACTTTGCTCTATTGTCAAGGACTTCTTTGTTATTTTTTACACACATTGGATTACATTATTGAAGTTTTCATATGGAACACTACATTTTTTGAAAAAACGCTATAGCCTTTCTTCATCACGGATAATAAAGGATTCTAATCATGAAAGAATTTTTCGAATCGGTCCAGGAGTTTCGGAGCGTATTCTATAAAACAAAGATCTCTTTATATTATTAAAGTATATAATACATACAGTAGTTATTCTTTATTTTTCTTTTAAGGCTGTGACCTGTTTTCTTGTGTATACATTAACTTCTTTGACATTTGAAGAAAAATAATAATTAAGATGCAGCGTTATTGAATTTAAAGAGGTTAAAGACAAGAATTTTAAGGAAATTCATAAGTTATAGCGATAGATTATAATAACGCAACTTATTAATTTTTGCTGAGTAATAGGAATACAGTAAATGATAACAAGAAGTATTTCACATTAAAATCGAAGCCAACATTTGTTCCGGTTTCAGGCAGGATTCAAAC